TGTATTGCTGTCTTATATATGAGAGGACAGTAGTGTTAATATTGAATATTACTGAAAGTTATATAAATGCAACTCCCATTAAAATTTTTGAGGATATTCTTATAGGAAAGAAAGTTGTTCAAGAAGAAGGCACACAAACTCTCCAAAAGCTACAGTGATTTTAAGCATGAGTGTGGTGATGCTACAATCCTTGGTTTCACATTGCACCACAGAGCCACAGTGACAAAAAGAGCACGGTACTCTGATGGGGCAAGTCCTTTTGTATATGTTTATTTTATTGGTTGTTGAATAAGGTACTGTTGGCCAATGAAGAAGCAAGTTAGGATGGACTAGGAGTCAAGAAGGATTCTGGGAAATGTAGTAAAGATAAGTCTTATGATACAGGCAGGAAGTGACATAGCATGCAGACTCAGACTATAAGCAGGGACAACCAGGAAATCACACTCATTCTCTTCCTCGTCCTCCTGCTCTCTGCTCTGGAGCCACCATGTGATTCCAGCAAGAAAAGACACCTGCTGCTGGTGTCCAATAAGATAAGTCTTTATGGTTGATACTTAAGGCAGAGCAAGCATGTAAGAAATCCTCGTCATTGACCAGCAGCGTTGTACTTAATATAAGTCTCTGTGTTATTTGGGGCCCTAATGCGGTGGGCAGAACTCAGGCGGCTGGTGTAAAGACATATTGTTTCAGTACTCCAACACAGTCAATGCAACAATTAAAATAAGAGAGCTAATAATAAATGTACGCTGCATCAACAGTTTGATTTTCAAAAAGCATTTGAGAAAACAGTCTCTTCTACAAATATAATTGGAAAGCAAGGTATCCTTATGTAGAAGATTAAGAGGGAGATCTTTAACTCTTGCCCTGAACAAAAATTATCTCCAAGTTAATCAAATTCCTTAACATAAGACCTGATACCCTGAAAATATTAGAGGAAAATGCAGGGAAAACACCTGAAGATTTTGCATAGGTGATGAGACTTTCTGAGCAGGACTCCAAAAGCATGGATAGCATAGCAAGAAGACAAACAGGACTGAATGAAATTGGAAAGTTTCTGAACTACACGGAAGTAGTGAACTGAGTGAAAGGTAGCTGACAGGAAAGGAGAAATCTTTGCCAGGTCTTTGTTAAATGGGGTATTGATATCCCAAAAGAATTCAAAACATGTGAACACACAAATCTAAAAAGAGCAAAGGATCTACTCAGCAAGTGAGCAAATGAACTGTACAGATACTTCCCAAAAGAAGTAAATGTCCACTAAATATATGGGAAGCACATTGACCATCTTGATCTATCAATGGAATTGTAAAACGGAATTACTTTGAGATTATGTGTCACCCAATCTAATTGGCTTTCATAAAGGAAACAAAAACAAATGAGAGGAAGAAGCTTGTCATTCCATTGAGACTTTTCATTTGTGGAGTCAATATGGAATAAAGAAAAAATGCAACCAAACAACCAAATGAAACTACCACAGGATTCTGCTGAATGACTTCCAAAGTAGACGGTCAGAAAAATCAATATCAGCACACAACAGAGATGCCTGCACACCCTACGTATTGTTGCAATGTTCAAAACAGTCTAAGGTTGGAATCAGTCCCGCCTTCCATCAAATGAGTGTGCCTTAGACATATAGGATATGCACATAGTGAAGTTATAGTCAGACTGACAGAAGAAGGGAATTAAGTAGTTTAAGGAAATGGAAAGAACTGGAGATGACAGTGTTAAGCCAAATAAGACAGACCCAGAAAGAGAAACATTATATTTGTTTTTTTGTTTTTTTTGTTTGTTTTTTTTTTTCGTATGTGGTGTCTAGATTTAAAAAAAAAAAAAGAAGAAGAAAGTTGAAGGAGTGATGGGGGAAGTACTTTTGTGTATGTGTATATTTTTCATTGTTAAATAAAATACTGTTTGGCCAATGAGAGAGCAAGCTTGATGGGACTAGAAGTCAAAGAGGATTCTGGGAAATGTAGTAGCGAAGTGCTGATCCAGGCAGGAAGTGATATAGCAAGGAGACTCATATTTAAGCGAAGGAGAAACAGGAAGGGCACTCTTTTCCCCTCTGCTCCTGCTCCAGGGGCACGATGTGATCCACAGCAAGGAGGGACACCAATAAGGCGTCAGATAAGATAAGTCTTATATAGATTTATGATAGTTAAGACTGAGCTAGCAGATAAGAATCCTAGTTATTGGCCAAGCAGCTTTGTACCTAATACAAGTTTCTATGTATTCATTTGGGCCCTAACTTGGGTAGGCAGCTGGCATAAAGTGTACATGTGGCGGTGGGGCTCAGCGGCTTTTGGTGTAAAGATTTATTGTAACAAAGGAGGGACTATTTATGAAGAAAACTTGGATTAGAAGTGGGGAGGACTGTGAACAAAAGAGGGTAATGTGGGAGTGAAGAATCTTAAGATACCTTGTATCCTGTATATATTTACCTTTGGATCATTAGGGATGTCTTTTCAATTTAAGAATCTCATTTGATCTTTTTTCTTTTCAATGTTTTCTCCAGCAAATTTTAGATACCTTGCTTTAAAAACTCAGAGATAACTCCATATACCCAGAGACAGAGCTTGCTTATTCCTTTGATATAATGAAAAGTATTTTCTTGTACTTGGGCCATAATCTGTTCAACCAATCCCCTCCCTGGATATCTGGACTGTATACATTTCTCACTGTATTTTTTGCTAGTATATTTTTCTTCCCTTTTGTAAAAATAAGAATAATAAAAGTATCTCATAGATTTGTTGGAAGTAGAAGATGTGAGAAGGTACCTGATATATTTGGTGCTATATCGGGTTCATTGTCATTGTGGCCAAGAATAATTAGTAACGTCAATGTGAGACACTTTATATGAAAACACCATGCAGTGGTGTGTGTGTGTGTGTGTGTGTGTGTGTGTGTGTGTGTGTGTGTGTGTATGTGTGTGTGTGTGTTCAGGTGTGCTGACTACAATAACTGAGTGGGAAAGAAGTTAGGATCGGTGATATTTCACTTGATGCTATTTGGATTACAAAAAGATGTTTTAGGTAATGAAAGCCTTTCTAAAAATGAAACTTTGAAAGAACAGAATGCCCCTAAGTCCACTAAGTAGAACTCTGGGCATGAAGGAGAACAGTCACAATGAAGACCTGATGGGAAGGGTTAAGCAGGTGGCAGAGCCTGGAGAAATTTTTCTGTTATTTTGATGCCCAATCTTGGAGACTAGATGAAGGACTTATGGCAAGGAGGGATTTACAAATGAACAAACAACTCTTACTATGGCTCCCTCTGGTATGAAGGAAATTCATGCAAAAAATATGAGGAATCAGGTATAACTATGATGAAGCATTTTAAACACTAGTGACATATGTTATGTTGGCATCTCCATTTGGTAAAAAAGAAATAAGACTTAAAAGAGTCACTTAATTTACCCAAAGCATAAGCCAGTAAAAGGAAAAGCCACAACTGTTAAAAGCAGTTAAAAATCTACTCCTTTATTGTTTTATGATTTTCAAGACTCAAATTTATTAGGGCAACTTGAAGAAGTCAGTGCATGTTGATTAAGTCAGTATGGTTTGGTGAGATTTGGGGCATGTTACTCTCAAATGAGGCCTTGTGGAATTAAGCAAGCAGTAGAGACTAGAAGGCCATGCCCACCTTTCCCTTTCATCCTCCCCTGAAACAGGACATAAGCCTGTCATTCCAGAACTGTCCTCAAAATACCTGAAAAATTCAGGGGCTAAAGAGCAGGCAGGGATGCTAAAATGATCTAATCAAATAAGTCTCTGTAGGTTGTCTCTGGTTAGGTTATCTTTAGGTCATATTTCTCTATGGTGGTCCTCTTCTTCATTAGGCCTACCACAATATACATGCTTATTTCCCTCTGTTTTAGGGCCTCATGTATCTGATCTGTCTAGTATCTTGTAAAATGTACACTCATTTGCTAGGTTCTCTCTTGTGAATCTGTCTTTCAATCTAGGGCTCTTCTGACAGATTCAGTGACTCGGTGATATGCTGGCAGTACCAGAGATTTTCTGATTTTATCTTTTTAGATAAGACTTTCTAAGATTAAAGCTCTGAAAGAATGGGAGGTCATAGTTTCCAGAGAGAAACTATGCAGCCTTTAAAATTTGATGTATTTTTCCAGTAAATTTATTAACTCCCCCCTTTTTTGTTTTTGTTACATGTCAAGATAAAAGTGGTTTCACATGTCTACATTCTGATCATAATCTAATAGAGAGGCCAGGAAATACAAGCAGAGTTGACAAAAGCTGGTGGTAACCTTATCCTGCTACAGAAAGTCTTGAGCTCCTGATGAGAGTTGTATGAAAATCTGTGGAGAAAGAAAACAACACTTATCACCAGCCAGCTACTGGTGGCAAATTCATGGAAATACTGTTTCCTAGGATCAGATGCATGTTTTTTGTTTGTTTGTTGAATTTATTTGAATTAGAAACAAGATTGTTTTACATGTCAATTCCAATTCCCTCTCCCTCCTCTCTCCCCTCCCCTCCCCCAACTAACACCCTACCTATGCCATACCCTTTCTGCTCCCCAGGGAGGGTGAGGCCTTCCATAGGGGCATCTTCCTAGTCTGTCATATACTGCCCATCCCATGTATGTAGGCTCAGGGAATATCCCTCTGTGTGTGATGGGCTCCCAAATTCCATTCCTCTGCTAGGGATAAGTACTGAACTACTACACGGGGTCCCATAGATTTCTGAGGTCTCCTCACTGACACCCAAGTTCAGGGGTCTGGAGCAGTCCCATGCTGGTTTCCCAGCTATCTGTCTGGGGACAAAGAGCTCTCCCTTGTTCAGGTCAGCTGTTTCTGTGGGTTTCACCAGCCTGGTTTGGACCCCTTTGCTCATCACTCTTCCTTCTCTGCAACTGGATTACAGATCAGTTCAGTGTTTATCTGTAGGTGTCTGCTTCTACTTACAACAGCTGCTTGATGAAGGCGATAGGATGGGATATAAGTTAGTCTTCAATCTCATTATCAGGGGAGGGCATTTAAAGTAGCCTCTCCTCTGTTGCTTAGATTGTTAGTTGGCAGATGCATGTTTATAATAATTACTTTTAAATCTCCTTAAAAAAAACTCTGTTGGAACTTAAGGATCAGTCAAATAATCAATATGCCTAGTTTGGTTGGAATAGTATGCGAAAGTCATACACTTTTAAATTTCTGCTATTTCAATAAAATTGCAGTTGATGTGTTCCGTCACTTGTCTGCCAAATGACCATTTTAATTTGCTTGAATTTGCTCTGATTTTCAGGTGGTCTCTGAGGTAACATAACTACTGTTCGGATTTGCAGGTGCTCCCCAAAGTAGTGTTGCTACTACTGGGATTTGCAGGTCCTCCTTGAGGTAATGTGACTACTGCTCTTATTTTTCAGGTGCTCTCTGAGGTAGTGTGGCTACTGCCTGTGTTTCCTGAAAAACCCGAACTGAGATGCTGGCTGGAGAACAAGGCTGCGTTTTACTCTGCCAAGAACTGGCTGTTCTCGAGCTGTGCCACAGATCGCTCAATTTCTTATTTAAATTGAAGCGTTAAATTATCTGTAAAGGCTGCTCAGTTCACTAAATTATTTGGATTTAATATCATTTATGTGAAGCCCTTGTTAGTGGAGAGGACAGTGGTGGCATCTGCACTGCACATCCATAGAAAGCTTTATTGGCTGGAAAAGAAAAAAGAAATTTTCCCATATTAAAAGCCAGGTCATAGTTTTTTGATGCTAAATTGGGCATCAATTTTTGAAAAGTGGAGGAAGAGTGTGTGTGAGGGGAAGGGTTGGAAAAAGGGAGGAAAGAGGTGTGGTGATAGGGGACAGAATGAGAATAAATTAGTCCCCAGGAAAGAATAGTCAGGAGCCTTGAGATTCTTCAAAGGACTTGATACTCGACATTTGAATCCTGAATGTGGGGGAACTGCTATTGACTTCTCCAGAGACAGCAGGTAGGGTAGTCCCCATCTAATGGAAAAGAGAATGAGGGTTGTCTCAAACAGTGTTTCTCAACACGTGGGTTGCCACCCCTTGGGTCAAACGACCCTTTCATAAGAGTCACCTAAGACCATAGGAAACAGATATATTTGTATTACAATTCACAACAGTAGCAAAATTATACTTATGAGGTAGCAATGAAATAATTTGTGGTGGTGGTCGGGGGGGGGGGGTCACCATAACATGAAGAACTGTATTAAAGGTTTGTAGCATTAGGAAGGTTGCAAACCACTCTTCTAGATTGCCTGAAGCTAAAGTCTTAATAAAGAAAGTGTGTTTTTTGTGCAGCCAGTGGCTACATGTGAAAGTGATTCAGCACGTTGGTTGGAAATACAGGACTGCACAAAGAGTGTGGGAGCCAAACCATTTGCTGCCCACTGCTGAGAACAGGGAACCCACAGTCAGCAGGACTGATGTAAAAGACTTAGAGAGCTACAGGCAGAAATTTACATCTCTATCCTCTTGTGAACAGCGTCCAACAGCCACCTATGCCATGGAAGGAGTCGGACATACAGAGTAGAGGAGAGGTAAGTAGCCATGTGGCAGAATATAGATTCACAAAACAGGTTAATTTAAGTTATAAGAGCTAACTAGGATCAAGCCTGAGCGTAAGGTCAAGCTTTCATAACTAATATCAAATCGCCATGTCACTAATTGGGAGGCTGGTGGTCCCAAAAGAAAGTCTGACAAGAAAGTCCTACAACACACAAGGGTGGGAAGTACGGTTATGTCTGGGCCATTGACAATATTGTAATGAGGATAGGGAAGCATGTATTTTCAAGACACAGGAAGATAGCTGTAGGGGACAGTGTAAGCCATGCCTGCTAGAAGCTGGCTACAGGTGTGCCTGACCAGGGCGTGCTCAAGGTGAGGTCAAGGTGATTCAAGATAGGGTTAATAGGGACAGACAGGCAGATGGGAGCCCCTGCTCTGGGCCTCCCTGCCTTGCTGCCCTTGGCACGCTGTGGCTTGCGTTTGGCTGGCATTTATCTAATAAAAGATATCTTAACCTCACAGGTTACAAATCTCTCTTATTAGATAGCAGTCTCAACACTTTATCTTCCTGAAGTTCTCTATTCCTCCAGGTGACATATTGGTACCCTTTACTCTCTCATCTCTTTCTCCTGACACCCCTTCTTCCTCTGACAATTTGGGGATCTTCCCTCCACTCTCTCGTCTTACAGTTCACTGTGTACAGAGCTCTCTGATTCACTGTATATATAAATTCTTAGAGATTCAACTAACATCCATGTACTAGTGGTTCACAAATGGGTACCTTTAGTCAGCCTTTTTTTGGAATCTGAAACTACATAGAAGTCCTTTTTCTTTGGATGCATCTGGTACAAAAGTAACAGTCTCTTTGAATTTGAGATGCCTGAGATGAGACTATTTACTTTCTCTAACTGTAATATTAAATGACATTTAGCTTCTCTATTAACTACTGAGTAACACTCCAGATAATGACATCTGGGCGACAACCTTTCTCTTCACTCATTAAAAACTCAACCTCTAAATAGTAATTTAAAAATATTTCACAAATTTAATATTTCATACATTTTCAATAATCTTATCTTACTTTATGAAAATAACATTGGTTACCTACTACATTCTGTTCTTATAACTGAAAAGCAGATAATTATACTTTGATGGTTCATTGCAGATGAAAACCTGGCTCAATTATCTAGATACCTGGTGCTATTGTTTCCTGCCTGTTACTATGACAGAACACTCTGAAGAAAGCAACTTGGGGAAGAAAGAGTTTAGTTTACACTTCCAGTTGACAGTCCATCAATGAGGGAAGTTAGGCAGGAACCTGGAGGCAGGAACCATGGTGGAATGCTCTTTGATGGCTCACTCTAACTTGGTCACTAGCTTTCTTGTATTTGCCAGGACCATCGGCCTAAAGAATGCTAACATCCACATTGGATTGAGGCTCTCAGACATTAATTAACCATGGGGATGATTCTTCACAGACATGCCCACAGACCAATCTGATACAGATTGTTCAATGGAGAATCTTTTCAGGTGACTTCCAGTTTGAGTTTTGTTGATAGATAATATTGACTTGGACATGGTAAAGCAATATTATTGTGTACATATGAATGCTGCTGGAGGATATTTATATAAAGTCAGAGGACTGGATGAGTAAGATACATACTCATATGAAGTAAAATTTGTTATTCCAATGTGAGTGGGAAACATCCAATGGCAAGAAAGGAGGACCCTGGGAGAGTGGGAGGGCAGAGGAAAGGTGAGTGCTCTTTCTCATATATTCTTTCCTTCTCCTCTGCCACAGAATTAAAATTCCCCTTTCTTTCCATGGGCATGAGAACTTTGGAGTCTTTGCATTCTGGACTCTGGGACTCCAAGAACCAGGATCAGTGTCTCCTGGAGGCTTCATGTCTTTATTCTTGAACATAATTATACTACTGTCTTTATTCCTAGTTCTAAAGCTTTGGGATTTTGATTGAGCCATGCTACTGTCTTCACTGGTTTTCCAGCATAGAGGACCTTCAGTGAGACTTCTAATCCTCTGCAATCATGTCTTTTTTTTTATCCCTGTTAAGTTTCTTCTGGTAGTATATACACTTTCACACAGTCACACACCCTTCCTAATGTCCTATCATTCAGTGTCTGACCACACAGGCAAGAACCTCTAAGATTCCAGTGTACTTAAGGAATTCTGGCCTCTAGTGGGACAGTGGCCTGCTTGTAATGCTGTGGATGATGCATTTTCACATGTTTGGTATGAGCAAACCTACTGTCCCACCACTTGGAAATATAGAGCAAACACTGTGTTTAATACATAATACTTACCAGTGTTAACAAATAGTTACATCACTTACATGATTATTATCCTGTAAATTTTTGTACATTATTTTAAAGGATCATACATACTTGCCAAAAGATTTCTGTAAAATAATGTGCATTTTTATACTGTGTTATAGGCAGATTTACTTTTAAAATTTATTTGTTGCATAAATTGACCATTTATTAAAGAAAGGAAATGTGTGTACTGATGAGTGTTCATGTGTACGAGGAACTGTGTCTAAAATTATTTGAGTATTTTGTACAGATACTGAATGAGTGCCAGTCAATCTTTATCCTTTAGTACTGGATCCTGTGCTGGGAGAAGTCACATCCATGTGATGCTTGATTGCATCAATATATCACATTGAGGGGCTGACCTGTGCCATTTAGAATTGTATGAATATACTTGGTGCTGTTTGCACAATGATTGAACGGAATAATGACTCATTTCCAGGATTTCCCATTACTAATAATACACAATTATATGGTTCATTGTTTTTGTCTCTTCAACTGCTCCAGAGTATATGTGTGAAACATAGTTTAAAGCAATCCTGTTTCTAATTCAAATAAAAAAAGTTGAAAAAAATAAATTGACTAGAGTTCAAAAATGAAAGATTAGTTAAATGAGAAACACATATTGATGTATGTAATATAAATTAATTGATATGGTTACACAGGCTGAGTACTTTCATCATTGTCATTCAGCAAGTAGAGACTTGAGTTGATACTGAAGGCAAGAACAAAAGAGAAGAGCTATGGACAGCAATCTAGAAAAAACAAATTTTCCATTTTCCTCAATTTTTGTTCTAGTCATTCCTTCAACAGATTGTTTTAACACACTTATGTTGGGAAGGACAATCTGTTTTATTCAATCTACAGATTTAAATGTGAAACCCACTTATGTTGGGAAGGACAATCTGTTTTATTCAATCTACAGATTTAAATATTAATCTTCTCTAAAAGCATCCTCACAAATGCATCCAGAATGCTTGACCAGATAGCTGAGCACTCTTTGGCCCTGTAAAGTTGACATGAAATTAGCAATCACTTAGTACAAACAAGAACATTTATTATATGATACATTCTGTTGCTTACATATCCTCAAATCTTATTGTTATATTACTGTTTACTTGCATTATTCTTCAACATGAAATTATGAATATTTTCTAGTATAAGCAATACTATAATGAACATTTGAATAAATAACTGTGGTTACCTTTCATAAATATATGTAGAAGAATGTCTACATATGCAAATGGAGTTGGCTTCTTGTTCATCTTTACCTCCTTTCACAACCTCCTTCTTTTTGCATTGTCTAATGTGATGATGCAGTGTAATGCACCCTTGACTTCAATTCCCTTCCCCTGGAATGGCAACTACATCAAGCTGGTCAGTCAGATGAACTCATCTCATGCATGGTTTGGAAATAGTCCTTGGTCCCATGAGCAGTGACCCAGAGGGTGGCCTGAGACTTTGTTGCTGGTCCTTCCAGGGGAACATACTTTTTATGTTGAGATTGCTTAACTGTGGGGATGTGATAAAGCTTTGTAATGAATATCATCTAAACCATGTGGATGGAGTATCTCCACACAATGAGGTCAGCATAGAGGGAGAAAAGGTTAGCATTGCACAGAAGGATAGATGTCTCAGAACTTCATTCATTCCTTAAGCACTCTTGTCCACTGTAAAATTAGTCCTCAAATTGCACTGACATTAATAAGACTACTTCCTATGCATAAATTATTTCAAATCATAGATCCCTTCTTTACAGACTGTAAGAAATTAAACAACTGTCAATAATATCATGCCAATTTTTAAAATTGTATTCATTTATACTTTTTATAGAAAATCACTGTAAATAATATAACTAAAATGAAAACTAAAAATACTTAAAATAGCATTAGCAATAAATATTTAACTGAATAGGTTAAAGTGTCAGGTACCAAGCCTAGAATTATTCTTGCCAGAGTTAATGGTACATATATTTATTTTCCATCCCTACATATGCTCACTGTCTATCTAAGAGTATTGATGTAGGCATTGGGGAATGGGTATAGCTTACAAATACAAAAGAAAACATGTATGAGGTTCTGTGCCTAGTCTTATTGCAACCTGTTATGCTATGCTTGTTTGATATCACTCAAATTCTGAGTGAATCTGAGGAGGAGTGAGTCTGGGGAGAGAGGAAAGGTGGTGGGTGGGACTAGGAGGAGTAGGGGGAGTCTCACTGCAGTTGGGATGTAACTTATGAGAAAAGAAAAATTAAAAATGAATCATAGACTGCAAGTTATTTTGTATGTCTTTACTTTTTTGCTTAAACTTACAACATGAACACAAGCTGCGTACCTATCATCCAGTAAAGAAATGAACAGCCTGTTTCTTCGTTGCGGATCATTGCATTTGGTTCCAATAATTATTGGATGAGGGCTTTAAGATGATAGTTGAGACATTCATCAATCTGATTATAAGTGGAGGCCAGGCATCCCCTCTACTATTACTAGGAGTCTTAGACCAAGCTCTGGAATCCAGTTGAAGAGAAGAGGGAAGGAATATATGAGCAAGAGAGGTCAAGATCATGATGAAGAAATCTACAGAGATACCTGATCCAAGCTCACGGAAACTCATGAACTCTAGACCTACAACTGTGGAAACTTTAGGGCATTGAACTAGGCCTTCCATATGTGGGAGTCAGTTGTGAAGCTTGGACTATCAGAGGGGTCCCTGACAGTAGAACTATGATACAAACCCCGTACATGAGCTAGCTTGTTGGAGCCCATTCCCTAGGGTGGGATGCCATGCTCAGCCCTTATAGCATGGGAGAGGGGCCTGACTCTGCCCCAACCTATTGTGCCAGACTATGTTGACTCCTCATGTCCTCATGTGAGTCCTTACCTGTGAGAAGGAGTGGACTGAGGGTGGTCTATGGAGGAGGCGACAAGGGTGGGAGGAGGTGGGGAGATGAGAGGAGGGTGGAAGGGAGAACTGTGGTTGGAATATAAAATGAAATAAAAAAATAAGAAAAATGCAAAAAAGAAAATAAACAGCTTGAAATGAATCAAATACAATGTATTAGTTCAATTATCTTATTTGTCTTCATATATGTATCTCCTAATACTGCAGAGACAATATTTGTTATTCACACAAGAGCAATGCGATGATGCAGAGAACTCTTCCCGAAACAGTGGTATGACAGGACTGTTCACTGTGTAGCCAGACATTCAGTCATCTCAACTCCTACAACACTTGTTTGTTTCTTATGGGAGATGCTGTTGCATCTACACACATTTTGAACCTTGGCCCACACCATTATTTGTGAATTCAGACTCACAGAGTCTCTTTATCTTCACCACTTGGCTCCAATGGGCTTGGGTGTAGCCATCTTGAAAATTTGTGGACCGTGCCTGGAAATGAGGCAATCATATTCACCCACATTCCACTGGCAAGAGCTCAGTGACTTGGCCACATCTAAATACAATGGTGGCTTTAAATTGTAGCCCAGTAAGTTTTCAGGAAGAATGGGAAAATGATCCAGCAGCAGGCAGCCAGTTGTATTCCATAGCTAAAAGCCAAAATGTGTAGAATATCATTTATATATAAACATGTACAAATATTGACTGAAGAGAAATAAAACTACAGATTGCTATTGTGTTTTGTTGTTTGATCAACACAATATTGTGGTACTTCTAATTAAAGAGAATCAAATCTGTTAAATGAAATTTATTATTATGCAGGAATTTAAAGTTATTTCTAGAAATTTCCATCACATTGTTTTTCTCAGGACCTTCGTGCCTGACCTCACTTCATTTGACAGCCTTCTATGATAACAATAAGAAAACAGGATTTAGGGGTAAAACACCTGATTCACAATACCGATTTACATTTATGTGGTGTCAGATGTGGAAAAATTATCAAAACTTTCAGAGCCTCTGTTTACTGGCCTGTAAGAAGAGAGGCGGAAGCCTATCTTTCTGGCTTGTCATGAGAAGTAATTAAGTTGAGTGCATAACATGCTGACTTGAACAGTTCAGGCCTGGCTATGCAAAATAACATGCATGTCTTTCTTATACAGTGGGATATACTTCAATAATTGCTACTGCAGGCAAATGACCTCTCACTCTAATTAATAAAACATGCCAGCTAGAAATAAATCATATCATCTGGATGTGTACAAAGTGTGGGGTTGCTAAAGTGTTTGTAAAAATCATTACTTTCCAAGGGCAGCTAAAAAAAATTAATTCAACAAACAACATCACACAAGGAGTTCGGTGTTCAAATATTTCTGAGATTAGTGCAAGTTTGGAAATGCAAATACTAACTCTCACTGCAAGCCGGATTTAGTTTTTAATGAGAGGAATTGTTATGCCTTAAAAGGTAGATGAGAGTGAGAAATGATACAGAAATAGGTGGACACTTCCATAGGTATGCACATTTGAGTGAGCATGTGTGTGTTTGCATATTGATGTCCATAATTGAGTGTGTATTTGTATGCATAAGAACATGTTTTGTATGTTCACTCATATGTGTGTTCGTGTGAGTGTGTGTAGGTACATGCATGTGTACAAGTGGTTAATTGATCTTTCTATGTAAGTATGACCACATGCATGTGTTGGTATTTGCACTATTTCATTCATGCGTGTGTATTCATGCTAGTACATGTATTTGCTTTCATTTAGTGTGTGTATATGTCTACATGTATCTGTGTGGGCATTTATGAATGTGTGCATATGCATTTGTGTATGCAAGGTTTTGGTTATGCATGTCTGCCAGTATGACCACTTCTGTGACTGCCTATGTGCATGTCGTGTGAGAGGACACTTGTATAAGGATGTTCAGATGTATATGCATTTATGTATACATTTGTGCATGTGCATATGTAGTTATGTAGCTGTGGGCCAATGTGTACATGTACATGTGTGGGTTGACTGATTGATGTTAGTACTGCAAGTGTGCTAGTATGTTCAAGTATGTGTATGTGTGTGCCTGTGTGCTTGGAAGTGCATGCCTCTGTGTATTTATATGTGTTTTGTGCGCATGCACCTTTAAACATGCAATTACATGACTGCGTGTGTGTGCTATCTAAGCTTGTTTGTGTGCTCACATGTTTGCATATGCCTGTTGAGGTCAAAGATTAAGTCATGTGTCATTGCTCTCATATATATATAATACTAAATTTGATTAACCCTCTGTTCCTCATTCTTGTTTGGACAAGTACCTTCCTAACTACATCCCCCAGCTCCACTTGTGAATTTTAAAGGCACTTAAAATTCTTTTAAATAAAGTCTTGGTATGTAGCCTGGCTGTCCTCTCCCTGCCTTGGAATCCTGAATTCCGGGATAGCATATATGCACTACCATGTTTGCCCGGGAAGTGGCATTTTAGCAGTGCCGCCTCCAAAGCATCTGAAATTTAGAGAAATCTTGATAAACTGCTAAAATCAGAGAATGCTGTCACAAAGGTCAGGTTTCTCTCCCCAAGGCTAAGAATGTGTTCATTTGCTAGAACCTGGAATGAGATCTTATGAAGGCAAATCTGAGTGATTTTCATAGTGCAGTCACCAGTGATTTTCGCTTTTAAAAGCACAAAGAGCCCTTGCTTTTTGTCTACACATGTCACCACATCTTAGCATCTCTCACAGTTTAAGATAATATTAAGCAAATGGTTAGGAAAGAATTTTCTTGGACTTAAGAAACCATGGGGCATCTCTTCAGATTCCTGTCTCCTTTTCCATGTTCAGCAAGCACCATGTCACAGTGTCAGGTAGACCTGTAGATGCATCATGCACAGTGTTGCTTTTCTTATGAACCTCCTATGCATCAGTAACTT